AGGTGGTCCTGCAGCAGGTGGTCTGACAGCACGTTGGGCGGCAGCAGCAAGGCTGGCAGCAGCTGGACCCGCAGCCACTGGACCCACAGCAGCTAGGCTGGCAGCAGCTGGACACACAGCATGCGGGCTTGCAGCACGTGGTCCTGCAGCAGGTGGTCTGACAGCACGTTGGGCGGCTGCAGCAAGGCTCGCAGCAGCTGGACCCGCAGCCACTGGACCCACAGCAGCTGGGCTGGCAGCAGCTGGACACACAGCATGCGGGCTTGCAGCACGTGGTCCTGCAGCAGGTGGTCTGACAGCACGTTGGGCGGCAGCAGCAAGGCTCGCAGCAGCTGGATCCACAGCAGCTGGGCTGGCAGCAGGTGGTCCTGCAGCAGGTGGTCCTGCAGCACGTGGGCTGGCAGCACGGGGAGCAGCACGATTCACTCATGGTGTCGCAGGTGGAGGCGTGGGCTTCTGGTCTCAGGTGACTTTCTCAGATTCTCACTGATGCCTCCTTCCATTCTGGGCCTTTTATACACTGGACCCCCTCACCCCCAACGTATGGACCAATGGGCAGGACTTCCCTTGTTTATACCGTTTTCCATAGTCACTGGTGCCTAGTAGAAGAGGAAGTTCCCTAAGTGTTAGGAATCCCTAGAGAGTAGGTGCTTAACATGTTTCTTAATTGAGAGTAACTCATAGGAGCATTGTCAGAGGGAAGCAAGGTGGTCACATCAGCAGCCTCGTTCTTGCTTCCGGGGCCATGGGATCACGTGATGCAGTTCCTGGGAAGTGGTTGGTGAGTCAGTTTCGTGCTCCTTGCCCAGCACTGGTACTTGGGTTGCATGCAGACTGGGAGTATCCCTGAGGTGAAGGGAGCTTGATGTTGATATGTTCATAGTGATGAATTGCAATCATGCTGGAGCCCGAGTCTGTTTCCCCAAAGTGCCTCATTCCAGAGGCCCGCAGGCATCTGTCTCTGGGAGCACCCTACCCCGTTTGCATAGGGCAGTGCAATCAAAGACACTTGGGTGGAGGACGTCTGGCATCATGTCTTCCATATGTCAAGGCCGAATCGAGCAGGTGGATAGAAACAGGACTCAACAAGCATCCATGAACATACTTCCTGAGTGACCAGCAGTCCTGCTCTCATTTACCCAGAAATGAGTGTTTTCCCAGGCCGTGGGCCTGTCAGTGGTTTAAGCGGGGCAGTTTGGGATGAGTCGGTGACCCTAGCCCTAACCTTGTTAACCAGCAGAGTGAGATATTTAGTCGCACTGACTCCACAGTTACTGTTTTCTCTTCCTGCGTCCCACCGTGCCATCCCTTCTCCTCCTCTTTTCCCTCTTCTTTCTCCTCTGTCTTCCTTTTACACAAATTGTGCCTGCCTGCCATCGTGAAGGAGAAAATGTGGGGTCCGAGTGGAGAAAATCGTAGACTGTAGATGATGCCTTACACATGCCGGGCATAGAGATCAGATCTTCCTGTGTTCAGGACAATTTCTACACAGCAGCAGATCTGCATCTCTATGCCTCGGGGCGGGCTGTTTTCATGCAACAGCAGGATGTCATGTTGCCTGGGTGTGTGCCGCACTGACAGAAGCGCTCAACCAATGCTTCTGGAGAGTTGGTGTATGTGACTGCAGGGCTGTCCTTGCTCCTGAAAGAGGAGAATCCTGACATGGCTGTTTCTATTCTTTTCTGATCTATTTCTCAGGATTGAGCCAGTTGAAAACTGTGACGCTGGCCTCCATCCTGTATCACTTCCCCACCTTCCAACCAGTGGGATCTGCCCTCCCTCCCGCAAGAAACCACATGCCTGAATGCTGTTCTTCAGAGTAGCTTCTGGGAAAAACCAAACTCTGACATTACCTATCTCTGTCCCGATTTCCTCACTTCTACCATGGGAACCTTAGGATGTACTTTAAGAATTCCTTCAAGGATTAGGAGGGAGGAGTTAAGTGGCAGAGAAGGAGGTGGCCATGGGCTTTCCTGATCCCTGCATCACAGTTCTATTGAGCTCAGGTCACTTGGAACACCCAGGAAATTGATAGGAAGGTTGGAAGAAGGATCTGTGTGGTTGGGGGGACATGGCCCTGCAGGTATGAGGGGTGTTTAAGTGAATTGGGGGAGAGGAAAACTGTTGTGCCACGGAGGGGAGGGGGGCCGTTTCTGTGGGGAGAGAAAAGGGAGACAAAGAGAGAGGGGTTGAGAGAGTCCGGTGTTGGGTCCACACAAGAGGAAATGTCCCTGGGCCACGTGTGTGGCTCAGTTTGTTCAGAGTCTGACTTTGGCTCAGGTCATGATCTCTGGGTCCTGGGGCTGAGGCTCGCATCAGGCTCTCTCAGTGGGAGCTCAGTGGGAGTCCGCTCGGCCCCTCCTTCATTCTCTGTCCCACACCCCTGCAATGCTCGCTTTCTCCCTCTCTCTCTCTGTCTCTCTCTCTCTGTGTGTGTGTGTGTATGGAAAAAAAAAGGCGGATGACACAAAATGTAGGAGAAAGTTTTATGAAGGAGCATAAATACAGCTTATATTTTGCCCAACACATGTAGCTGGTGAGTAGCAGAACAGGAATTTAAATAGTCTTCTAAACGATTCCAATTCTCATAACCAAGATCTATCGTCGTCTACGATAGAGAACCTAGTGATTGAAGATAAAATTGGAGATGAAGACTTGCACAGTTATTGAAGGGAGTAGTACAGAAAACGGATAATGCAAGCTAGCGGCATCCTCCGAAGTTGGCCCAAACAGAAGTAGGCCCCATTATGGGGTGGCGGTGGAAGCTAGGAGCTCTATAGAACGTTTCCCTAGATTTCTGTCTGGAAGTTTTGTAGTTTTGGGCTTTACATTTGGGGCTATAATCTATTTGCGTCGGATGTTGTATATGATATGAAGGATGGGTTGAAGTTTATTTTGAGGAGTGGGGGGGGCATGTCTGTTTAATTGTTCCAACACCATTTGTTTAAAAGACTACACTTTCTCTGCCTATAGAATTGGCACCTTTCTGCAAAATTCAATGCCTAAGAAACGTGTGTCTATTTGTGGACTCTCGGTTTTGTTGCACTGATTTCTGTGTTCATCATTTCACGTGTAGCCCACCAAACAGCTGTTTTTGAAAACAAGATGGAGTTTCAGTGCACATGCAATTTTGAACAAGCTACTTTCCTCCACACTGGTTTCCTCAGCTCCACAATATGGAAGTAGTGATGCTCACTTTCCAGGATTGTATGACAAATAAAGAGTGTGCAGGTAAAGCATCTCTCTGAGTGCCCAGCGTGTGGCAGGTCCTCAGGAAATGTCAGGAATTCTTCCCATAAGTTCTCTGCCTTGTGAACTTAAGTACTCTGGCAGAGAATTCCACATACGTCCTCTAGGAAGACGATACTCCCCGTCACATGTAGTGTGTTCACTATTCCAAAGCATTTTTATATCTCTTGAGAAGGTGGCCGTGATCAAAACCTCTTATTTTATTTTCTGCCCAGAGCCTTCCTAATCCTTGTCCTGCTGGGTGCCTTCAGAGTTGTCTTTGTTATTCAGCTCTTCACCCAAAGATCCAGGTTTCCTCCTTTGGGGAGGCAACCTAACTAACATCTGTCTTGATTTGGAAGAGTGCATCCTTTCTGCTCCGTTTTTGTTTTCATTCTCCTTTATCCTCCTTTTCTTGAAAATTCGGATGTGAATTTCCTCTAGCCTATGTGTCTTTATCTCACAGAACACAGGAAGTTGGGGAAGCCTGGTGGCTCAGTGGTTGAGCATCTGCCTTCAGCTCAGGTGGTGATCCTGGGGTCCTGGAATGGAGTCCCACATCCACCCCCCAACAGGGAGCCTGTTCTCCCTCTGCCTATGTTTCAGCCTCTCTCCCGGTGTCTCTCACGAAGAAAGAAAGAAACTCTTACAAGAAAAGAACACAGGAAATCGTTCTCTCTTTGTTTACCGCCTAAAGACTGTGATTGGATCAAAGCAGCCTATGCCTGCTGCATGGGTACCTCAACTATCAGGACTCTACAAACTTCTCTTCTCTGAACAATGTCCAGGTCAGGACATCAAATTGCCTCAAAGTTTGAGAGCCTTGGAATTGTGGCCTGAGCTTGTGTGCTTGCAAGGGTGATTCTTCATACCAATTTCTTTAAGATGAATGAAATGAGGGGCACTTGGGTGGCGCATTCAGAGAAGCATCCACTCTTGGTTTTGCCTCAGATCATGATCTCAGGCTTGTCAGACTGAGCCCTGGGTCAGGCTCTACGCTCATGGGGGGAGTCTGTTTGAGATTCTATCTCCACCTCCCTCTGCCTTTCCCACTCATGCTCTCTCTCAAATAAATAAATAAATAAATAAATAAATAAATAAATGAATGAATAAATAAATATATAACTCTTAAAAAAAAAAGAGATAAAAGCAATGATACCAGTACGCCAATCCATGACAACAAAGAACAGGTTCCCCTCGGCAAGAATAGGGCCAGGAACACTATATGTGCTAATGAATCTGATGTCAGAGAAGTTGCAAAGCCCCTTTTCATTAACCAGAACTCTTAAAGGCATATTGGTCATAAAGCTGAGAACAATGTTTAGGAAGAGGTTTGTAGACTGAAATGGTTCTCTATAGGAAATTTATAATTATTTCCTTTGTTATGGAAACAACTCACAATGTATGCCTCCCTTATGCCCCATCACCAGGATTATTTCTATTTTTAGAAAGATGTAACTAAAAATGTCCTTGACCTGAAATCAAAGGACCTGCTTCTGTCAATTATTTGCTGTATGGTCAAGCATTTCCTGCTCTCTAAGTGAGAATGAAAATGGAATGATAATCCTGGCTCTGCCTGATTTGTGGGACAATTGTGGTAACTGAATGAGATAATAAATATATTGAAGCTTCAATTTACTTTGGGCGTCATATCTACCTAAGTGTATACATAGAGTAAAACTTCAAGAAGGACTTCATAAAGGAAGTGCTGTAATAACACACACACACACACACACACACACGAAAAACCACACGAACATAGAAACATTGGATGCAGGATGACACAGATTTTATTAGGAAAGAACGGAAGGAAGAAAGTTCAAAGCCATTGCAAAGAGCTTAGTAACCTGGCAGGACTTACTAACTATAATGCATCTATCTAAAAAGATGATCAGTACTGATCACTGCGGAGAGCTAATATGCACTCATAAGAATGTGTTTACATGCTGTAGAAGTGAAAGGTGATGATCACTTTCCGGAGACTGAGAGTGTGAATCAATGGATGTGGACCAGCGTCTGGGGTTGACCAAATGGAGTGGCTCAGCAATTGCTACAGTAAACCAGAGACACTAGAATACAATCAAATTGAAGTAGATTGCATTCCGTCCATAGACTCATAAGCATTGCTGAGAAAGATGACAGGGGCAGTGTAAGCATGTGTGTGTCCCCAGGAAAGCCGAGGGAGCAACTTCTTGTAAGACAGGAACTTTGGCAAACTGGCGTAGGATATACATTCCGGTGAGTGCTGAGTGTATAACAAGTTGCTCAGCAGCAGCAAGGCTGGCAGCAGCTGGATCCACAGCCTTGGGCTAGGCACCCGGGCAGGCAGCAGCAGGTGGGCTGGTAGCAGGTTCTCCTGCAGATAACGGGGGTGCAGCAAGCTGGCTGGGAGCAGGGTGTGCAGCAGCAACTGGGGCGGCAGCAAGGCTGGCAGCAGCTGGACACACAGCATGTGGGCTTGCAGCAGGTGGTCCTGCAGCAGGTGGTCTGACAGCACGTTGGGCGGCAGCAGCAAGGCTGGCAGCAGCTGGACCCGCAGCCACTGGACCCACAGCAGCTAGGCTGGCAGCAGCTGGACACACAGCATGCGGGCTTGCAGCACGTGGTCCTGCAGCAGGTGGTCTGACAGCACGTTGGGCGGCTGCAGCAAGGCTCGCAGCAGCTGGACCCGCAGCCACTGGACCCACAGCAGCTAGGCTGGCAGCAGCTGGACACACAGCATGCGGGCTTGCAGCACGTGGTCCTGCAGCAGGTGGTCTGACAGCACGTTGGGCGGCTGCAGCAAGGCTCGCAGCAGCTGGACCCGCAGCCACTGGACCCACAGCAGCTGGGCTGGCAGCAGCTGGACACACAGCATGCGGGCTTGCAGCACGTGGTCCTGCAGCAGGTGGTCTGACAGCACGTTGGGCGGCAGCAGCAAGGCTCGCAGCAGCTGGATCCACAGCAGCTGGGCTGGCAGCAGGTGGTCCTGCAGCAGGTGGTCCTGCAGCACGTGGGCTGGCAGCACGGGGAGCAGCACGATTCACTCATGGTGTCGCAGGTGGAGGCGTGGGCTTCTGGTCTCAGGTGACTTTCTCAGATTCTCACTGATGCCTCCTTCCATTCTGGGCCTTTTATACACTGGACCCCCTCACCCCAACGTATGGACCAATGGGCAGGACTTCCCTTGTTTATACCGTTTTCCATAGTCACTGGTGCCTAGTAGAAGAGGAAGTTCCCTAAGTGTTAGGAATCCCTAGAGAGTAGGTGCTTAACATGTTTCTTAATTGAGAGTAACTCATAGGAACATTGTCAGAGGGAAGCAAGGTGGTCACATCAGCAGCCTCGTTCTTGCTTCCGGGGCCATGGGATCACGTGATGCAGTTCCTGGGAAGTGGTTGGTGAGTCAGTTTCGTGCTCCTTGCCCAGCACTGGTACTTGGGTTGCATGCAGACTGGGAGTATCCCTGAGGTGAAGGGAGCTTGATGTTGATATGTTCATAGTGATGAATTGCAATCATGCTGGAGCCCGAGTCTGTTTCCCCAAAGTGCCTCATTCCAGAGGCCCGCAGGCATCTGTCTCTGGGAGCACCCTACCCCGTTTGCATAGGGCAGTGCAATCAAAGACACTTGGGTGGAGGACGTCTGGCATCATGTCTTCCATATGTCAAGGCCGAATCGAGCAGGTGGATAGAAACAGGACTCAACAAGCATCCATGAACATACTTCCTGAGTGACCAGCAGTCCTGCTCTCATTTACCCAGAAATGAGTGTTTTCCCAGGCCGTGGGCCTGTCAGTGGTATAAGCGGGGCAGTTTGGGATGAGTCGGTGACCCTAGCCCTAACCTTGTTAACCAGCAGAGTGAGATATTTAGTCGCACTGACTCCACAGTTACTGTTTTCTCTTCCTGCGTCCCACCGTGCCATCCCTTCTCCTCCTCTTTTCCCTCTTCTTTCTCCTCTGTCTTCCTTTTACACAAATTGTGCCTGCCTGCCATCGTGAAGGAGAAAATGTGGGGTCCGAGTGGAGAAAATCGTAGACTGTAGATGATGCCTTACACATGCCGGGCATAGAGATCAGATCTTCCTGTGTTCAGGACAATTTCTACACAGCAGCAGATCTGCATCTCTATGCCTCGGGGCGGGCTGTTTTCATGCAACAGCAGGATGTCATGTTGCCTGGGTGTGTGCCGCACTGACAGAAGCGCTCAACCAATGCTTCTGGAGAGTTGGTGTATGTGACTGCAGGGCTGTCCTTGCTCCTGAAAGAGGAGAATCCTGACATGGCTGTTTCTATTCTTTTCTGATCTATTTCTCAGGATTGAGCCAGTTGAAAACTGTGACGCTGGCCTCCATCCTGTATCACTTCCCCACCTTCCAACCAGTGGGATCTGCCCTCCCTCCCGCAAGAAACCACATGCCTGAATGCTGTTCTTCAGAGTAGCTTCTGGGAAAAACCAAACTCTGACATTACCTATCTCTGTCCCGATTTCCTCACTTCTACCATGGGAACCTTAGGATGTACTTTAAGAATTCCTTCAAGGATTAGGAGGGAGGAGTTAAGTGGCAGAGAAGGAGGTGGCCATGGGCTTTCCTGATCCCTGCATCACAGTTCTATTGAGCTCAGGTCACTTGGAACACCCAGGAAATTGATAGGAAGGTTGGAAGAAGGATCTGTGTGGTTGGGGGGACATGGCCCTGCAGGTATGAGGGGTGTTTAAGTGAATTGGGGGAGAGGAAAACTGTTGTGCCACGGAGGGGAGGGGGGCCGTTTCTGTGGGGAGAGAAAAGGGAGACAAAGAGAGAGGGGTTGAGAGAGTCCGGTGTTGGGTCCACACAAGAGGAAATGTCCCTGGGCCACGTGTGTGGCTCAGTTTGTTCAGAGTCTGACTTTGGCTCAGGTCATGATCTCTGGGTCCTGGGGCTGAGGCTCGCATCAGGCTCTCTCAGTGGGAGCTCAGTGGGAGTCCGCTCGGCCCCTCCTTCATTCTCTGTCCCACACCCCTGCAATGCTCGCTTTCTCCCTCTCTCTCTCTGTCTCTCTCTCTCTGTGTGTGTGTGTGTATGGAAAAAAAAAGGCGGATGACACAAAATGTAGGAGAAAGTTTTATGAAGGAGCATAAATACAGCTTATATTTTGCCCAACACATGTAGCTGGTGAGTAGCAGAACAGGAATTTAAATAGTCTTCTAAACGATTCCAATTCTCATAACCAAGATCTATCGTCGTCTACGATAGAGAACCTAGTGATTGAAGATAAAATTGGAGATGAAGACTTGCACAGTTATTGAAGGGAGTAGTACAGAAAACGGATAATGCAAGCTAGCGGCATCCTCCGAAGTTGGCCCAAACAGAAGTAGGCCCCATTATGGGGTGGCGGTGGAAGCTAGGAGCTCTATAGAACGTTTCCCTAGATTTCTGTCTGGAAGTTTTGTAGTTTTGGGCTTTACATTTGGGGCTATAATCTATTTGCGTCGGATGTTGTATATGATATGAAGTATGGGTTGAAGTTTATTTTGAGGAGTGGGGGGGGCATGTCTGTTTAATTGTTCCAACACCATTTGTTTAAAAGACTACACTTTCTCTGCCTATAGAATTGGCACCTTTCTGCAAAATTCAATGCCTAAGAAACGTGTGTCTATTTGTGGACTCTCGGTTTTGTTGCACTGATTTCTGTGTTCATCATTTCACGTGTAGCCCACCAAACAGCTGTTTTTGAAAACAAGATGGAGTTTCAGTGCACATGCAATTTTGAACAAGCTACTTTCCTCCACACTGGTTTCCTCAGCTCCACAATATGGAAGTAGTGATGCTCACTTTCCAGGATTGTATGACAAATAAAGAGTGTGCAGGTAAAGCATCTCTCTGAGTGCCCAGCGTGTGGCAGGTCCTCAGGAAATGTCAGGAATTCTTCCCATAAGTTCTCTGCCTTGTGAACTTAAGTACTCTGGCAGAGAATTCCACATACGTCCTCTAGGAAGACGATACTCCCCGTCACATGTAGTGTGTTCACTATTCCAAAGCATTTTTATATCTCTTGAGAAGGTGGCCGTGATCAAAACCTCTTATTTTATTGTCTGCCCAGAGCCTTCCTAATCCTTGTCCTGCTGGGTGCCTTCAGAGTTGTCTTTGTTATTCAGCTCTTCACCCAAAGATCCAGGTTTCCTCCTTTGGGGAGGCAACCTAACTAACATCTGTCTTGATTTGGAAGAGTGCATCCTTTCTGCTCCGTTTTTGTTTTCATTCTCCTTTATCCTCCTTTTCTTGAAAATTCGGATGTGAATTTCCTCTAGCCTATGTGTCTTTATCTCACAGAACACAGGAAGTTGGGGAAGCCTGGTGGCTCAGTGGTTGAGCATCTGCCTTCAGCTCAGGTGGTGATCCTGGGGTCCTGGAATGGAGTCCCACATCCACCCCCCAACAGGGAGCCTGTTCTCCCTCTGCCTATGTTTCAGCCTCTCTCCCGGTGTCTCTCACGAAGAAAGAAAGAAAATCTTACAAGAAAAGAACACAGGAAATCGTTCTCTCTTTGTTTACCGCCTAAAGACTGTGATTGGATCAAAGCAGCCTATGCCTGCTGCATGGGTACCTCAACTATCAGGACTCTACAAACTTCTCTTCTCTGAACAATGTCCAGGTCAGGACATCAAATTGCCTCAAAGTTTGAGAGCCTTGGAATTGTGGCCTGAGCTTGTGTGCTTGCAAGGGTGATTCTTCATACCAATTTCTTTAAGATGAATGAAATGAGGGGCACTTGGGTGGCGCATTCAGAGAAGCATCCACTCTTGGTTTTGCCTCAGATCATGATCTCAGGCTTGTCAGACTGAGCCCTGGGTCAGGCTCTACGCTCATGGGGGGAGTCTGTTTGAGATTCTATCTCCACCTCCCTCTGCCTTCCCGCTCATGCTCTCTCTCAAATAAATAAATAAATAAATAAATAAATAAATGAATGAATAAATAAATATATAACTCTTAAAAAAAAAAGAGATAAAAGCAATGATACCAGTACGCCAATCCATGACAACAAAGAACAGGTTCCCCTCGGCAAGAATAGGGCCAGGAACACTATATGTGCTAATGAATCTCATGTCAGAGAAGTTGCAAAGCCCCTTTTCATTAACCAGAACTCTTAAAGGCATATTGGTCATAAAGCTGAGAACAATGTTTAGGAAGAGGTTTGTAGACTGAAATGGTTCTCTATAGGAAATTTATAATTATTTCCTTTGCTATGGAAACAACTCACAATGTATGCCTCCCTTATGCCCCATCACCAGGATTATTTCTATTTTTAGAAAGATGTAACTAAAAATGTCCTTGACCTGAAATCAAAGGACCTGCTTCTGTCAATTATTTGCTGTATGGTCAAGCATTTCCTGCTCTCTAAGTGAGAATGAAAATGGAATGATAATCCTGGCTCTGCCTGATTTGTGGGACAATTGTGGTAACTGAATGAGATAATAAATATATTGAAGCTTCAATTTACTTTGGGCGTCATATCTACCTAAGTGTATACATAGAGTAAAACTTCAAGAAGGACTTCATAAAGGAAGTGCTGTAATAACACACACACACACACACACACACACGAAAAACCACACGAACATAGAAACATTGGATGCAGGATGACACAGATTTTATTAGGAAAGAACGGAAGGAAGAAAGTTCAAAGCCATTGCAAAGAGCTTAGTAACCTGGCAGGACTTACTAACTATAATGCATCTATCTAAAAAGATGATCAGTACTGATCACTGCGGAGAGCTAATATGCACTCATAAGAATGTGTTTACATGCTGTAGAAGTGAAAGGTGATGATCACTTTCCGGAGACTGAGAGTGTGAATCAATGGATGTGGACCAGCGTCTGGGGTTGACCAAATGGAGTGGCTCAGCAATTGCTACAGTAAACCAGAGACACTAGAATACAATCAAATTGAAGTAGATTGCATTCCGTCCATAGACTCATAAGCATTGCTGAGAAAGATGACAGGGGCAGTGTAAGCATGTGTGTGTCCCCAGGAAAGCCGAGGGAGCAACTTCTTGTAAGACAGGAACTTTGGCAAACTGGCGTAGGATATACATTCCGGTGAGTGCTGAGTGTATAACAAGTTGCTCAGCAGCAGCAA